TTCCTCTCCTCAAACGCTGCTTCTCTGCCCTTCCTACGTGATACTGTGGGGCCTGCCCGTCGCAGCCCCCTGCCCACTGCCCAGTCACAGGCCGCATGGCTCTGGCCTGAGACTAGCTGGCCTGGGGGAGGTCATGCGACTCAGGGCAGGAGAGGAGGGAGTCACCCCTCTTTCTTCTGTGGAATCTCAGAGCTGGGTGGACGCAGGCTGGCTCCTCCCACAGCTGAGACAAGGGCCGCAAAGAGCACGGCCCTGCGGTCTGCCTGCTCCCCACCCCGGGGGCCCGCATCTCTGCGGCTGGGCCGCAAGAGTCCGCAGACTCCCCAGAGCTCCAGCCAGTTCTGTTCTGGACTTTACCGCTTCCATGGCAACGGCCTCAGCCAGGGCCTTTCCTAAGCAAATAATCCAGCAATTACCAGGCGTCTCACTTCCTTGTTTCCCTTTGATTATTTGAGTTTTTTTTTTATCCTGTATGTCCTGCTTTCATAAGTAAAAAGAACAAACAAACAAAATCACAAAGCTATTTGTTTTTGAAAAGATAAATCCAAAGCCTGCTTCTTACTCCTCTGGCCCTGCCTGGCTTGAACTCTGACCTCCAGTCTTGCCGCCTCTGATCCTGCCCTCGCAGCACCGGCAGCCTCAGCCTGGCCCGGGAGGTGTGGCTTCTAGGGCCTGCAGGGGGTCCCCACTTTCTTAGGACACTGTGGCCTGGGGAGCATGTCCCCGTCCAGGCAGGAGCTGGAGATGACTGCAGCCCTACCTGAAGAGTACTGCGGCTAGCTCTGGGTGGGGATGCTGGGGTTCTGACTCCCAGGTGAGGATCCTTGCTGAGCATCCATGGGCCCGCAGGAGTTTGGCCTGGGCTACAGCAGCCACCTGGTGGGTCCCCAGCACATGCTCAGGCAGGATGCCACCTGAGCACCAACCTGGCCCCAGCGGCCTCCAAGCTGTGTGATCCTGGGCAAGCTGCTTCCCCTCTCTGAGCCCAACTCCACTGCTTCTTCTGTAAGGAGATGCTGGCAATTACACAAAGGATTTTTCTTGGACTGGGAATGGCACAGGCATCAGAAAAACAGAGATGGAAAGCATTCCTGTCCCCAGGGAGAACACCAGCCTAGCCGCAGGAGGTGACAATTATCATCCTAGCTAGCATTTACTGAGTGTTGGGCTAAGCACTTAATACTTCCTCATTTAATCTGCCCAACAACTCCTGAAGGATAAGAACCCCTCTTAACTCAACCAAGTCTCAATTTCCTCATCTGTTTATTGACTTACCCAGGGTCACTGGCTAATGAGTGTCCTTGCGGGGAGATGAGTTACACAGCGAAGCTCTAGACCTCTACAACCTGCCCCAGAGAGATGAGAACCCACTGGGCCAGAGCCATGGGGAGGAATCCCACGGGAGCACTCTCATCCAGCAGAGGCCAGGGTCCATGTCAGAAGCCAGGGGGGCTTCCTGCAAGAGGCAGAATGAGCAAGACCCCCATCAAAATTCCAATGATGTTTTTCACAGAACTCAAAGAAATAACTCTAAAATTTGTATGGAGCCACAAGACACCAAATAGCCAAAGCAATCTTGAGAAAGAAGAACAAAATATGAGGTATCCCAGATGCCCAACTACACTACAGAGCTATAGTAATCAAAACTATGTGGCACTAGCACAAAAAATAGACACATAAATCAATGAAACAGAATAGAAAGCCAGAAATAAACCTGTGCTTACATGGTCAATATCCAACCAAGGAGGCAAGAGTATATATGAGAAAAAGACCGTCTATTCAATAAATGGTGCTGGGAAAACTGGATACATGAAAGAATGGAAACGGACCACTGACTTACACCACACATAAAAACTAACTCAAAGAGGATTGAAGACTTGAACCTAAGACCTGAAACCATAAAACTCCTAGAAGAAAACAGGTGGTAAGCTCCTTGGCGTTGGTCTTGGCTATGATTTTCTGGATTTCACACCAAAGGCAAAGGCAACAAAAGCAAAAATCAACAAGTAGGACAACATGAAATTAAAAAGCTTCTGCACAGCAAAGGACACCATCAAACAACCAACAAAACAAAGAGGCGACCTACTAAGTGGGAGAAGATATTTGCAAATCCTATATCTGATAAAGGAGTAATAGCCAAAATAAAGAACTCATACAGCTCAATAACAACAACAACAAAAAAAACAATCCAATTTTAAAATGAGCAAAGGATCTGAACAGATATTTTTCCCAAGAAGATATCCAGATGTCCAACAGGTGCACAGAAGATGCTCAAGATCACTAATCATCAGGGAAATGCATATCAAAACCACAATGAAATATCACCTTACCCCTGTCAAAATGGCTAATATCAACAAGACAAGAAATAACAAGTGTTGGTGAGGATGTGGAGCAAAGAGAACCCTCCTCCACTGTTGGTGGGAATGTAAATTTGTGCAGTCATTATGGAAATCAGTATGGAGGTTCCTCAAAAAATTAAAAATAGAAATACCATAGCATCCAGCAATCCTACTTCTGGGTATCTATCTGAAGAAGATAAAAAAACACTAATTTAAAAAGATATGTGCACCCCTACGTTCACTGCAGCATTACTTACAATAACCAATATGGAAGCGACCGAAGTGTCCACCAATAAATGAATGGATAAAGAAGATGCAGTACATATATACAATGGAATATTACTAGGGCATAAAAAAGAAGGAAATCTTGTCATTTGTGACCACGTGGGTGGACCTTGAAGATGTTATGTTAAATGAAACAAGCCAAAGACAAATACCACATGATTTCACTTATATGTAGGATCTAAAAAATGAAATCAAGCTCAGAGAACAGATTGTTGGTTGCCCTAAAGAGAAGGAGTTTGGGGGCCAAAACGGGCAAAGAAGTACAAACTTCAAGTATAAAATAAACAAGTCATGGGGATGTAATGTACAGCATGAGGAATATAGTCAATAATATTGTATTAACTTTGTACAGTGATAAATGGTAACTAGACTTATCGTGGCAATCATTTCTAAATGTATACAAAGGTTGAATCACTATGTTGTTGGTACACCTGAAACTAATACAATGTTGTATGCCAATTACACTTTAATAAAATGAAAAGTAAATAAATTCTTTAAAGAGCCAGGCAAAGCAGGGAGGAAGGTCATGGAAGCAGGGCACAGACTGTGCACATCCCTGGGAGGAAGGGAAAATGGCGCATTCCAAGTTCATTAATTCACAACTGGACACGTAGGGAGGAGCCCAAGGCACTCAGTGGAAACTGGAAATGAGCTAAGCGCCTTGGAGAGTCAGCCCTTGAGAACTTGCTGTCAACACCCTCTCCTCCGATGCTTCCAGCCTCCCAGGCACCCTGTCCAGGGGGCTTCCTGGGCTTGTACCAGGGGTCATGGCTACTCTCTTTCTAGAGAGAGATCTCTGTGTCCTGGGGTTCAGGGTGCCACATGGGGCACCTTCTTATCTCAGATCTCCTTTTATCCTTGTACCCACTCTGCCAGACAGGATGACCGTGCTCATTTTGCAGACTGGGAAAGTGGGGCTGCAGCCAAGATTGTCTGGACCCCTCCAAACAGCTCTGGGAGCCAGGGTATGTCTTCTCACCAACTCCACCCGGGGCCAGGCACCCCATAAGTCCTCTGAGGAGGAGGAGATGCAGCCCTGCCTGGGACATGCTGAGGAGCAACAGCCAGGATACCTGCCCCCCAGGAGGAAGGAGGGTCCCTGAGACCCTCTGAGCCACCCCGAGGAGTTCACAGGTGTAAGGGAGGCTGCTGCCACTGATGGAACCACAAACAGTGCTGGGTTAGTGCTCACCTTACAGAAGACCACAAAAGTCACAGACCCACTGAGGGGTCCCCAGCCTCTGAAACCCCAGCCCCAGTGGGGTACAGTCATGTACTAACTACTCAATGCATCTGATGTCTGAAGGGTTTAAAAGTAGTAAGATAGGAATTTCCATAGTCTTGAGTTAGGGGTAGGAAACCATCAAAGGGATAACTCTAAAGGAAAAAGCCAATCAACTCAAATACATAAACAAACAAACAAAAAAAAGCTTCTGTGATAGCAGAAGACAAATTAGAAAGGGGAAAAATATTTGTAACACATAAGGCAAGCAAGGAGTTAAAAGCCTTTCTACAAAGAGCTCTAACAATCAAGCAAAAGACCAACCCAAGAGAAAAAACAAATTAAAATGGCCAATGAAGCATTGCGACAAATATTCAAATACATGCAAGTTAAACCTACGATGACATAGTATTGCTTTGACAATCTGACTGCCAAACCCCAGTTTTTAAAGGTTTGCCAAGCGCAAGTGGAGGCGAGCGAGCCCACCCTACTCGAAGCCGGCCTGGAGCTGTGGGGGCCATTTGGTGGCATCTGGTAGGAACTGCTCAGGACGTGTAAGCCCTTAACCCGCAATCCCTCCCGGGTAACAGGGGCAGGATGGAGCCGCCGACACCTGTGGTGGTGACCAGCATCGGCGACCGCGTAGGTGAAAACCATCCCGAGGACACTAAACCACGGAGAGGGGCGGCCTCGGGCGCTAAGCGAGCACAGGCAGGGCACACCGGACGGGATTCTCGGGCACAATCTTTGTTTCCAAAAGAATCTGTATCTCGTTCCGCGTTCGCGTCCTTCAGGCGCTGCTTCTGCCCTGCGCTCTGGTCCTGGGTGCGCTGGGCACGCGGGGCGCCCGGCGTCTCCCACACGCTCTCGGTCCCGGGGCCGACCCTGAGCCGCCGCGTCCCGGCGCCCCGAGTTCGCGCCCGGGTCCCGCCCCGCAAGTGGCCGGTTCCCGGGGCCGGGATGCAGCGGCTGGGACGCGCTTCCTCCCCGGAGCGCGGGGCCGGGTCTCGGATCCTGGAGGACCCGTGGACGCGGAGGCGCGAGGGGAGCTTCAGCCCCGGGGACGCTGGGGGAGGAGAGCGCCCGCCGGGCACGGGGCCCGCGCCTCCGCTCGTCCCGGGGCTGCCCCCGAGGTGGGGCCGGCGCGTGCTCACCGAGCATCTCCTTGCGCCGCTGAGTGTGGGGCTGGTCCGTGTAGACCCACTCGAAGTCGCTGCGGCCCGCACTGTTGCCCATGGTGGGGCCGGGAGCGCAGCTGGGGCGCGGGGCGCACGACTGGGCTCCGCTCCACCTGCCGGGCGGCGGGCGCCGCGCGAGGACAAGTCCCGGGCTCTGGAGGGGCGGGGCTCGGGGCGGGGCCAGGTGCGCCCCGGGCCAGTCGGGGACGGGGCCGCCCGCAGAGCCTCGTTTACCTCGGGTGACAAATGGGACTGTTAGAGTCCTCGGGGACAACCCGGGAGCACTCCTCCGGTTTCCGGGGACCCCACGGCGGCTGGGCGCCAGTTGTCTCGGTGGCTCAGGCCTGATCGCGCCCCTGCCGCCCCTGCTGCCAACTCTGAGCCAGTGACAGGGCCCACTCGGTGGGAAGAGGCGTTGGGAGGACAGGGCTCCCCTGGATAGACAGCGCCGGGACCCAGAAGGGGCTCAGCAAAGGCTCGCCGGAGCAGCCCTCCCTTCCCCTTCCCACCCCCTTCACCCACTAATGCAGAGGGCAGATGAAGCGTCTAACTACCTGGAGGCGAGTCAGCCCCAACCTTGCATCTAGGGAGATCAAGGAAATAACAGACAAGGAAGAAGCCTGCTATGGCTCAGGATGATTCCTGCCGTGACACACGTAGAGATAGCTAGGGTCCAGTTGAAGTGCCTTTTGCATTGGGTCTTGAAGGATGAGTAGGCGTTCAACAACTAGAAAAATGGGAGGGCATTGGTAGTAGAGGGGACAGCCTATGCAAAGGCCCAGAAGCTTGGAAGAACCCTGACACTGGCAGAATGAGAGCCCAGGTTTGGGGAGTGTGGGCATCCTCACTTTCACCTAACCAGGGATTCTCTTCCTCCTCACTTCTTTGGGGCCTTGGAGGGAATACCTAAGGACGAAACCTGGCCTGTACTGGGAGCTGACTGGGTGGCAGACTGACCTGGCAGCCAGAGGCACCACAAAGCAGGCAGGTAATAGTGGTGAGCTTCCTTCCTGTCTCTGGAAGCCCTGGCATGAGCCGGGAAGGAAAGCAACTGTGCGTGGGTATCCTGTGGCAGCCAACAACCTGGCCGAGTCAGGTGTGGGAAAACGGGCAGACACGGGGGCTGGACTCCCCTTCCAGCAGGAAGACCCGCAGAGCCTTGAAATGCCACCACCCCTTGCAGCGCCCACCAGGGTCATCTGTCCCAGCTGCACATCTCCCAAAACAGAATTCACTGCTCCCAGGGCTCTGACCCCGACCAGAGGGACCCTCCCACTGCTGGCACTGCACAGATGGGGAAACCCAGGCTCAGAGCTGACAAGGGCCTGGCCTAAACTACTCAGGATTAAGCAGCACATAGGGAGAGGCCCCTGCTCTTTGACTTGAGAAGTCCAAGGTCAGAGCGTTGGTCCGAGGTGGAGCTCAGTGAGATCCGGGTCCCAGCTTTGCCTTCTGGGCCACCATTGCACCTGCCAGCTTCCTCCACCCAGGACAAGGATCAAAAAAAGGTCACTCAGACATCTACTCAGGACTCAGCCTATTCAGACGAAACTAGCCCAATGCGCCTTTAGTTACAGATGAGGAAACTGACACCAAAGAGAGAGTGAGTCAAAGGGCACACTGTAGAGAGACCTGGGAGTGGAAAACAACTTCAAGACACATGCTTCCCAGTCTGGGGCCCTGGCCAAGTGATCCTCAGGTCCCTGACGCCGACCTGGGCTGGAGAAAATTGGCTTCAAGATGATACATTTGCTCAGAGCACGGACAATAGCCTTGCCGTCATAACTCTGGTCCTAGCAAGAAACGAAAATGCATATGCCCTTTACAAGGTGGTGCCCTGGGTAGGATTATGGACCAGAAAAGGGGCATTATAAAAACTAAGGGTATCTGAATACGGTATAGACTTTAGTTAATAATAATGCATCAATATTGCTCATTAATGCTAACAAATGCACCATACTATTATAAGATAGTAAAATAAAGGACATTGGGTGTGGAAGCTTTGTGAATTCTTGATACTATGTTTCCAATTTTTCTGTAAATCATCAAATGTAGCTTAAAAGTCAAGTGTATTTTTCTAAAAGCTGTACTGCATATATTTGTTGTGAAGTCATCAGCAGTAACAGCAGGGCCTTGCGGTTTGCGAGGAACCAGCCAGCCAGCCTCCTAGGGTGCCTCCTCCACATCCTCCCACACCCCCACTTCCCCTGGGCACGGTAGCAGCCTGGGTGTGCGTGGGCTGACTCCCCACAGGGAGCCTGACCGTAGGCTCTCGGCCAGAGGGCTCTGATGTCTTCGGCTGCCTTTGAGGAGACCTACACCCAGAAGTCCTAACTGCAGCATTTGCTGCCCTGCGGACAGCCCCCTTCCACCTACGCCTGCGGGAGTCAAGCCAGACGCACTCCTTACAACCCAGGGCTCGAGGGCCCCTCAGCCCTGACGCAGAGGCAGTTGGCAGGGAGGGAAGTCACTCACTCGGAGAGAAGGGCGGCGGCGGCAGGGAGAGGGGAGGCGGTCCCACCTAGGGAAGCAGAGCCAGTGGGAAGTACAGTGACCTCTCCCACAGACACAAAAGGCTGTGACATCCGTAAAGCAAATACATAAACAGACCAGCAATGTTCATGTGTAAATTGCTTATTAAAGAAACAACGCTCTCCTAGAAGAAAACATAGGCAGTCGGCTCTTGGACGTTGGTCTGAGCAATATTTTTTGGACCAGTCTCAGGCAACAAAAGCTAAAATAAACAAATGGGACTTGATTAAACTAAAAAGCTTGTGCACAGTAAAGGAAACCATCAACAAAAAGAAAAAGCAACCTACTGAATGGGAGAAGATATTTGCAAATTATACATCTAGTAAAGGATTAATATCTGAAATATATAAAGAACTTAAACAACAATATCAAAAACAAAAACCAAAAAACCCAAACAACCCAATTAAAAAATGAGCAGAGGACCTAATAGACATTTTTCAGGAGAAGACATACAGACGGCCAACACACACGTCGAAAGATTCTCAACGTTAATCATCAGGGAAAGCAAATCAAATCAAAACCACAATGAGATATCATCTAACACCAGGGGAGGGAAGGAAGGAAGGAGAGAGGAAGGAAAGTACCAAGTGTTGGAGAAGATATGGAGGAAAGGGAACACTGCCCTGTTGGTGGGAATGTAAACTGGTGCAGCCATTATGAAAACCAGTACGGAGTTGCTCAAAAATTAAAAATAGAGATACCATAGGATCCAGCGATTCCACTTCTGGGAATTTATCCAAAAAAAAGGAAACCACCCATTCAAAGAGATACATGCCACCCCCATCCCATGTTCACTGCAGCATTATGCACATTTCCAGCAGCCAAGATACCAAAGCAACTTGTGTTCATTGACAGATGAATGGATAAAGAAGGTGTGGTACTCAGCCACAAGAAGGAATGAAATGTTACCGATTGTGACAGCGAGGATGGACCTAGAGGGTATCATGCTCAGTGAAATAGGTGAGACAGAGAACTACAAATACCATTTGATTTCACTTATCTGTGGAATCTAAGAAACAAAGCAAATGAACAAACAAAACAAAATAGGAACAGACTCATAGATACAGAAAAGTGTTGGTTACTGGAGAGTCCCCAGGATTGGAAGGCAGGCAAAGCAGGTAAAGGGGAGTAAGAGGTATAAACTTCCAGCTGTAAAATAAGTAAGTTGTGGAGATAATGTACAAATAGGAAATACAATGCATAATATTGTAATGACTGTAATAATTGTGTGTGGTGATAGATGCTGACTGGATTTGTCACGGGGGTCATTCTGTAATGTATAAAAATACCAAATCACAGTGATATACATCAACACAAGTAGGATGTTGCACGTCAAATTATACTTCAGTTAAAAAAAAACCTCTATTGAAGAAGAAGCATATGGAAGAAAAAAAACCAGGAAGGACAGGAAAAGAATTCCGACGTCTATCCAATGAGATTTCTAGGATAGAGAATGGAGGAGACGCAACATTTATCCCTACACTGCCTCGTGTCGTTCCTAGAAGTCACTTACTGAAATGACAACTATAATTTAATCATGTGTAAGTACGGTTTTCCGCAGCTGAAGCGAATCTTTATGCTATGGATTTCTGTACTTGTTTACCGTCTGTTCCCTGTCTAGAGCATCATGTACTCCTGGGTTCGCCCCATGGTATCCCCAGTGCCAAGAACTATTCCTGGCATGGGAGTTGCCCTTAATAACAATCTGCTAAATGAAAGAATGAATAGATCGTAGTAAGTGAGGTGTCCCCGGATCAGAAGAAAGACACGAGTCTTCAGATTGAAAAGGTTCAGATGAAAACTTGGTTCAACCACTTTGGAAAATGCCTCAGCAGTATCTCATAAAGCTTACACGTATCTACCTTATGATCCGGGGATTTCACTCCTGTGCACATTGCCCTAAGAAATGCAAATATACGTGCCCTAAAAGACGTTGGGGAATACTCCCAACAGCTGTGTTGATCAGAGCCCTGAGAGCAGCCCTGGCAGACCCACACACCAGAAAGGTGTGCGGTGATTAAACAGGGAATGCAGACATCCAGGCCAACATGGGGTATTCTTCACGCTTTTTTATTTTCTGCATTTCTGATGCTTTCACATCTTGGAGCCTTGCTGACTGTAGGGAAAATGGAAGTTACATGGCCACGATGCTCATCTGACCCTAATCTACTTGCCCACTGTGTACATGTGATGATGTAATACCTTGCCTACTGCACAGGTGCAGGATTGCATACCCCTCGGCAACAAGCCATTACTGCTTGTGTTGCTATATAAAGAGCTCTGCCCCGTGCTAGCAGAGCAGAGGCTGGCGGCGAGGGCAGAGCCTGGAGTGGAGGCAGAGCCAGAGGCAGAGGCAGAGACGGGCTTGCAGACTGCCACGTGCAGATGTGGTTCTAGCACTCGACCTGCCCCTGTGAGAAGAAAGCTTGCTATAAGCCCCCTTTGACCTGCAATGTGCTGCTGTCACTTTTCAGTCTCAGTTCAGAATGAACTTGCTTATCTGTTTGATTTCACTTATCTGTTCCCTCAGAACTCGAAAGGCGATCCTCCTTGAGTTCTGGGCTGAGCTGCTACCTGCCTAGTTCCCACAGCTGGGAACTGCCTCT